TACCCCAGCACTGACCTGATCGTACTAGATTTGGACCTAGACCCCTTCCCTATCTAGAAATTTGAAAATAATACAAAATTATTGTGTATATTACTCAGTACATGTATTTATATATGTTATGTTGGGTATGGTTGACTACGATCCAAATTGGTAGGGTCCTTGCCATCCCCGGACTCAGAACTAGCACGGGTGGGGTCCAAGTCATTTGGACCCATGCCCAACCCGCTAGGGGGTTGACCCGCCGACCGACTCAACTTGGTTCCCACCCTTGTGCGTATAAGTATACTTACGTTTTGTGAATAACATAGTACTTATACACTTGTTTGAGATAAGTTCATCTAGAGCCCGTTTGTTTGCAGGAACATTTGGGTTCAAAAAGATAAGGTTCCTAAATACAGTAAAGCGTCACACAATTATCACGTCACAACCATGGGCAAGAATTGGTGTTTAAAACTCAGTGGTCAAGATCAAGAATATCTGATCCACATCGAGAATCGATCCAAACCTGACTCAATTTCTTGTAAAACCTAGAAACAATCTAGTTCTTCTGACTCGGTTCCCTTTTAGGGAATCAAGGATATCTGTCAAGGAATCCACACATTATATGTTTATTTTTTATTTTGTTATTATCATTTTTATGGATCAATTCTCAATTGTGAGAATCAGTCCATTGCCGTTCTAGACCGAATTTTCCCTCCGAAAGGCTGGTTCACCTAGCCTATCCGGGTTTCCAAACATGGGTAACATACCCACAGGGTGTGCTTGTTACATAAGCTGGTATGAAACAATACACACAAATTTATAAAAATCAGCCAAATCTCCATCTTCTTTTTATTATTGATAAACTATTTTAATATTTAAATCCAAATTGTAGCAATAATACACAACCCAAGCTTCCATTTTAACTTTATGCCTCCCTATGTTTTCATATCTAAAATTATTGCTTCAGGAAACCTCAAAATGTCAAAATTATTGGTTAGCAAACCGCCAAAAATAAAGGCAGTTCCTTAGCTGGGACTACCCCAGCACTGACCTGATCATACTAGATTTGAACCTAGACCTGACCTAGGCCTAGGTCCAAGTGATTTGGACTTAGACCCCATCCCTATCTAGAAATTTGAAAATAATACAAAATTATTGTGTATATTACTCAGTACATGTATTTATATATGTTCTGTTGGGTATGGTTGACTACGATCCAAATTGGTAGGGTCCTTGCCATCCTCGGACTCAGAACTAGCACGGGTGGGGTCCAAGTCATTTGGACCCATGCCCAACCCGCTAGGGGTTGACCCGCCGACCGACTCAACTTGGTTGCCACCCTTGCTCGTATAAATATATATACGTTTTGTGAATAACATAGTACATATACACTTGTTTGAGATAAGTTCATTTAGAGCGCGTTTGTTTGCAGAAACATTTGGGTTCAAAAAGATAAGGTTCGTTAATACTGTAAAGCGTCACACAATTATCACGTCACAGCCATGGGCAAGAATTGATGTTTAAAACTCAGTGGTCAAGATCAGGAATTGCTGATCCACATCGGGAATCGGTCCAAACCTGACCCATTTTCTTGCAAAACCTAGAAACAATCCAGTTCTTTGGACTCGGTTCCCTTTTAGGGAATCAAGGATATCTGTCAGGGAATCCACACATTATATGTTTATTTTTTATTTTGTTATTATCATTTTTATGGATCAATTCTCAATTGTGAGAATCAGTCCATTGCCGATCTAGAACGGATTTTCCCTCCGAAAGGCTGGTTCACCCAGCCTATCCAGGTTTCCAAACATGGGTAAAATACCCACAGGGTGTGCTTGTTACATAAGCCGGTATGAAACAATATACACAAGCCTATAAAAATCAGCCAAATCTCCATTTTTTTTTTATTATTGATAAACTATTTTAATATTTAAATCCAAATTGTAGCAATAATACCAAACCCAAGCCTCCATTTTAACTTTATGCCTCCCTATGTTTTGATATCTAAAATTATTGCTTCAGGAAACCGCAAAATGTCAAAATTTTTGGTTAGCAAACCGCCAAAAATAGAGGCAGTTGCTTAGCTGGGACTAAAACCATGGACATAGCTTTGTGGTCCTCATGCCTTCACCCACTGGAGTCAAAAGCTGGAAACTCCACTTACACACAAAAAAATTCAATTTTTGGGGATTTTTTAAGGGCAAGCTTTTTATGCTTCCCTTAAAACATAAAATTTAAAAAATTCTTCTTGTCCATTTTGAGTGGAGGGCTAAGATAACCCCAAACATAATGTCACGTATGTACATTATTTCATTTTTTTTTATTTTTATACAAACGATTTTGACACCAAATTTTGTACGTCCAATCCTCTATTAAACTTGCACTAGTGAAAAATATAAAAACAATATTTTCAATTAAATAAAATTACCAAAATACCCTTAAAAATTTTAAGGGGTATTTTGATATTTATATTTTATCGAAAATATATTTTAAATATTTTTTATAAGTGCACCCCAATGAGAAGATGACACGTACCAAATTTCATATTCATACAATTTATATAAAAAAAAAGCTAAAAATAAAATTCTTAAGACGTCAGATCTAAGATCAAACGATAAATGGCTCTCTTGATCAAAATTAGAAAGCTGATAGTAAGGGAAGCATAGATCTCTTATAGTGTAGGGGAAATATAAAAACCTTTCCCATATTTTAAAGCTCCAGTCGTCATTGAAGTTGAACTTCAGGATCATTTCTCTTATTAAAATACATGTTGATTTGCTGGGGTTTATGTGCAAGTACCGTCCTGAGGCCAATCTGAGAAATGGATCCAAACTCTAAAGATCCACCATCTCAGTCTTACAATGATCGCAAACTGAAAAGAAAACAATGAGCTCTAAATGTGTTCTATCTTCTACCATTTTTTTAGGAGAAAAGTTTATATAGAGCCGAGGCCCTAAACAATCAAATTTGAGCCTATCTAAAAAATTTAACTAGAGGTTGTTTTAATGTTCAAATATCTTCAAATTGATCATCTCGACATCAAGATGCATAGACATGAGAAAAAATGGATTTCAAGTTTTGGAAATAGAGTATTTTGTAATGCACTTTTGAACAGTCAATTTTTAAGATTTTTCCAGTTTTCATAGATGTGTCGATCTACACTATTTCTTGAAGCTTTAAACTTTATAAATAAATATGAAATATATTTTAAGGCTGTCACAAAGATTTATAATATTGAAGCCACATTTCGATGCTATTGGAAGGTAGGTTCTAATTTGATTGTTTAGAGCCTAGGCTCTATAAAACCGCACCTTTTTTCTAGACCATTCATTGTAGTTATGAACAATTGTTTCATGAGGGCTGGACCGCATTTGTACAATATGTGGTCCATTGGTATAAAGCATCCATCTTAAAGATGAATGCAAATAGGTGGTCCATCTAAAAACAATTGTAACTAACGGTCCAAATGTTTCTTAATATAATTATTATTTTTAGTTTTCAAATTTTACTTATTTATTTATATTCCAGATCTCCATGTTAAAGATTATATATTCTCTAAAAAATAAGATCAAATTATTTTTAAAAAATATATTTATTGCCAAGCCCGCATTTGTACATGTGCGGGATTGGCCGCATGCCAACTGCATCCTTTAGTTATTCAAAGGTCTTCAAATAGATTCGAGGCAAATATGAATTTGTGTTTTGGAATGTGTTTCAAGTTTCAAAATCTTTTCACCATCATCATCATAAGAGTATTTTCCAAACTTATTAGGGTCGGCTAAATCTCAAAATCCATATAAAGAAAAAATACTTAAAGATACCATTTAAACAAGGCAGTCACAAACATTATTGTCTGTCATATTTTAAATTGCGTGGTTGTGAGTATGTCATTTACTAGACTCAAAACTCCAAAAAAAAAAAAAATCTTGTCTGTCATATTTCAAATTGAGTGATTGTAAGTGTGTCATTGACTAGACTTAAAACTAAAAAAAAAAAATTCAAACTTTTACCCGAGCCCAAGCCATCAAATTTGACACCTAATTGCTAATAGCACTTGTGACCTTGTAGCAAACATTAATAATCCCAACTTTTCAAAAGCACCTCCAAAACCAAGGCAAACACGAAAGTCCGCATACGCATCGAAAGCTTTTCCATGCACCTTTCAATCGAGTTTGGGAACTAACTTGGGTTGCTAAATCCTTAAATGACTTGGTTCACAACTTTTCTGCAGAGTCATAAGAAAAACCTGCCAAACTAGCCCAATAAAACCACCACACAAAAACACATGAGAGAGAGAGCTCAACCCCAAAAAGGCAAATTATTAATACTCCATTGGCAATGACATCCTTGGCCTTTGTTAACATTAATCGAAGGGCTGATGTTTGGTCTCCACCACCTACTAATTTTATCAAACTACATTTTGATGAAAACAGTTTTGGCAATCCCGGTGCAACTGGCTTTGGTAGACTGATCAGAAATAAGTTCGTCTATATCTTATGCAGTTACTCTGGCCCATGCAGTTTTACTACCTCTAGCGAGGCTGAACCACATGGTTTGTTAGAGGGTGGAAAGACAATTAAAGAAGAGTAGAGGGGAGTCTAATAGGAGATTAAGATCATTATTTCATGAAACTAGGGATAAGATCTGGCTGTTTAATGCTGATCTTTGTCATTATTATAGGGAGGCCAATGAGGACGCAGATTGTCTAGCCAAAGGGGGAGTTTCAAATTCCTCATTGGTTGTTATATTTTCTTGATTTTATGCTCTTATTGTACGTCACATCTTGTAATCTGTTTTATGATTAATGGAAAGCTTGTGTTAATATTCAAAGAGAGAGAGTGAGAGGTATTTTGTTGGGAAAGGGGCTGGGGAGGGAGTCAGAGTCAAATATTAATTCAGGTTAAACTCATGAAACAAGTCAAGCCATTTAACTGCAGAAACTGATGAACATTCTTTGAAGCGGTGAGACAAACAACAAGGGCAATAATCAAAGCATATTTGAGAAAAGAACGCGCTCAGAGAGAAACATGCAAAAACTGAAGTTTGCAAATAGGGGTCGAGACAAGAATAAAATTTTGCAAATAATAAAAGAATCCAATGTCAATTTGTAATAAGATTAACTACAAGCAAATCATTCCAAAAATCTGTCAATCCTGGTAAGCACCAGTGCATGCAGTCCTCGTGCTTTTTCCCACCAGAGCTCGATGGGTGGGCATCTGCCCTGAATTCACTCATACGGCTTATATCGAGAATGCGAAAACTTGTCCCCTCTATGGCCTTGTACAAATGCTGGTTCACCAATCGAGCCTCAACATTTGTTCTGTTTCTCTCCAATGAAAACAATTGCTCCACCTTTTGTAAACCAAAAGACAGACAAGTGTCATGGAGCTATGAAAGTGATTTGAGAAAAATAATATGATATAACTACAGGATGTTTCTTTGAAGAATTCGAATGCATAACATATGGTATATAACTACATAACCAAGACAACCATACAGATGCATACAAATTTACATTAATATGTACAATTCCATAATGTATTTATGAATATGAAAGCCATAAAAACCCTTAGCACAAAGGAAGCATACATCATATTAAGGCACTGTTATTAAAGTATAGGATGCTATAGTTCAACATATTTCAACATCAATAAAATGCAATGAAAATCAATGATACAACAAAAATTCTATGTCCGTATGCCAGATAAAGCTAGTAATGGACTGCAGATTTAGAAGAAATATACCAAGTTTTTGGCATAACTAATAACAACAATATTAATTGCCCCATATGGCTAAGAAAAAATCTGTCAAGATAAGATATAAAAAATACGAAAAAAAGGTTGGTGATAGATGGTCAAAAGAAAATCACCTGCCCCTGCGATAAAGGTCTATTACGTTGACAAGAACCACCTTCATTCCAGTCACCCCCTTCAAAATGTCTTGGGGATTGTGTACGGAAATATTTGATGGCGTTGAGTGCCATTTTGTTCTCCACAAACATTATCTGCAAATGAAAATGAAGCCCATTGAACAGAAATGGAAAAATAAAAAATTGGAATAACTAACAAATCAGAAACAAATAAATCAACTACTAGAAAATAACTACAGCAACCAAATATTGAGGATATCTTTAGAAAGAAGCTTCTACTTTGTGTTTAGTTATCCTTGCACATCTTGGGTAACAACATTTGCACTGAACCACAAGAACATCAGCAGTGAAAAGGAACATGTGAGCAATGGAATAAGTATGCACATGCATGCTTGTGAAAGATGTCAGCTGATGTGAATATATGTATTTACACATTAGTCACGCATGCGTGCATGACTGCATGTACGTGCATAGACATTTAGATAAACATGTGTAACGGAATAAGAATTCACATGTCCACTCGCGAAAGATGTCAACTGAGAGAGAGAGAGAGAGAGAGAGAGAGAGAGAGAGAGAGAGAGAGAGAGAGAGAGAGATGGTACATGGACTGCGCAGCCAGTTATGCTGCTTATTCAAGTGTCTATGAGTATGTGGCTGGTAATAGGTACGTAGAGGAACAGTAAAAAAGCTCTCATCTCTTTTCCTTCAAAGAAAACATGTGATTGCCATTTACTGTAGGACCCTAAGGTCACTTCTGGATCATAAGGGCATTCTTCCAATAAATTTCCTCTCAGTGCTCCAGTGGATAAGATTACTTGGAACATGATGGCTGTGTAATGCACAAAAAAGGGGATGCCTGGGTAACTTTGTTTGTAATTTACCCAACTTTTGTATATACTATTTCTTAGCAATACCAGCATTCAACAGGGCTGAGAATTGTATATCTCTACAAGGAATACTCATTGTATCACTTGGTGGTCATTTGGTAGAAGGGTGATTTTGGGCCTCATGTGGAAGGAGAATCCATGGTATGTGTCTTTTTCTACTCGAACTGGTAATGAAATTTTCACTAAAATAAGGTCACAATGAACCATAGGAAGTCCCTCCGTGGTCCCCCAAAATGCAAGAGATTTTGACACCACTTGGCCAAGCTAACCGTGGATCCAAAATATTAACTTGCCACACTATAGTGACCCACATATAGATCAGGTAAACTCAGGAAAATCAGAAACTAGAATCTTGATTAATATACCAGTTACCTATTTAAACTCATCATGCCTGGTTTAAAACCACTAAACTAAATAGAACGTATTAGTAAACCAAAAGATGGATTATAAATTACTAATTTCAAGAAAATGCTGCACCAACGGCTGACAAAAAAATATATCCGCAACGGTTACAAGATGTAAGACATACCATATTCTTCAAAACCATATCCAGGCCAAGAGAAGGGGAAAGGGGAGGTATCACAGGTAAGCCTTTATCAAAAAAGATCATTGGAGAGTGAATTGGATCAAATTTAGCAGGTGCCCACCACCTGAAAAAATAACATTTCCATCAAAAGCAGAAACAAACAAAATCATATGTAGAGTTAAAGTGGGAATCAGTTGGGATTGCATGTCCACAATAAAATGAAAACTTAGAGACACAAAAACTCATATTCATTGAAGCAAACTCTTAATGTCCATATTGTCTTCTTTGGAATAGCAGTAATATCTTGGATCATCCTCAGCCAAGCACTGAGTTGTTCTATCATTTCTCAGTAGATATTCTTAGTAGCTAGAGAATATAAATTCACCTAGTTTATTTCCTTTCGTTGATAACAACATAACGTTGAAGAATTCATTTGTCTACAAATGAACTGCACAGATATATAGTGTAGTACCAGATATGCAAAGAAGAGAAATCCTGAACATTGTCAAGGCATCAAATTTTGAGACCAGCCGAGATAGCATACATCCAAGCAAAACTTGCTAGAGACAAGCCACAAATCTCTATAAGGGATTAAAGGTTCCAAATCCATTGATTTACCATATTTCATACTTATAGCCTTTGGTAGATATTTCACAAATTTTATACTTGCATTCCATAGCTTTATATTCTAGGTTACGAAGTCCAGGAGTAACAAAGGAAAGGATGTTGGGTATGGGGGCAGACCAATATGAAAAGAAACCATCAACTGCATACTCGAAATCAGTGCTGCGCTCAGATAAGGTTAGGTCAAGTTGACTCATGAAAGAGCCATTCTATTCACTGAGTCATGCAGGGATATAATCATTCTATTCACTGAGTGATGCAAGCGCATGACCGAAATAAACAATGGTTACTTATTCAAGAAACTCCCAAAAAAAAAAGGAAAAAAGAAAAAAAAGGAAACCAAACGGATAAAAATAATAAAAAGGAAGAAAAGAGACAAATAGAGGTGCTGGGAGCTTGGTCAACAAACAAAAGCAACTGGGAAGTTCCTAACACCAGAGCTTGAATGGACTCATAGAAAAACTTCCACAAGGAATTGCATAGTGATCGTCTCAGGGACACCATTTGTGAGTTGAAGTGTCATCCAAATTACAAGGCTTGCTTTTTCTAGAAACATTTTATTTCAAGAGATGGAGTATACATTCAGTAACACCCAAAATATCAAACAAACAGAGACGCATACTAGAGTCCATTTTTTTAACAGAAACAATAATAAATTAAAGTACAATACGAGAGAGAACATAGAGCATCACTGTATCAGGTAGGGAATGTAAGTGTTTCCAACAGTCCAACTAGTTAGGTAGCTCCCACTCCATGTTAAGCTAGACATTCTGCTTCACAATTATTTTCTTTCCATATATGATAGAACTAGATCTGCAACATTTTGGAATTGGGACAGGTGACCGACTTCTTCCATGAGATCTACCAGCCTCCATGGTTTGGGAAACCAGATACTTAGAAAACCACCTTGTGAGATTGACGGAGTCCCCCTCCATAACCAGGAGACTTGAGAAAAACGAATAGAACAGCCTATGGTCTTTATGGAGCGCAAGTGTTTCCTCTCAGGTTGAATTCACAAGTCCAACGGGATCAGATAACACCTCCACCTTTTACTCACCTTCTTAGAAGTCCACAAAGATGACTCAAATACTAGATGGGCTTGGATTCGAAACAAACTACTATCAATGTTAAGCCTAAGAACTCCGATAGGAGGCATTCAACATGTAAGTTGCCTCATCTGATCCTTTCTCAACGCCATTGTCCTTCAACCCTAATTCAGTCAATATCTTAATTCCTAATACTGTACCCTTTTGAAGAACTAGCCCATGAAATGGCATCATCTCAAAGTAAAACAAGTGGATATGTTTATTCTACAATTGATATGAGTCATAGTTCCATCACATAGCAAAAAAGCAATATTCTCAGATTATCAACTCAAAAAGGCAAGAACTCACACAACAACAGAGCCATATCTCAGAGCATCTCTAGTTGTTAATTCTATTATTAATATTGCGACTTAAATTTTTCCTAATTTTGATTTCATACAGATTCAATATTCAGTTTTCTCATAATCAAAGAAATTATACTCCAGAGGGAATATTGAATCCAAGAGCACATAAAAAATTGACGTCAGAACCAAGACCTGGCAATGTTGTCATCCTTTGAAGAAACACTCATTTTGGTTCTATCCATTTCTCAGACTCTCAGAGTGAGCAACTTGCATCTACTTCCATCATATCAAAAGCAACCGGGATGCCCTGGCCTGTGGGCCTCTCGGTGAGGCATGGCTTTGGATCACACTTTAAGGCCCATGCAGGCCAGCCTTGGCCCAGCTCTCTGTCTCCCTCTCTCTCTCTCTCTCTCTCTCACACACACACACACAAACATGCGTATATAACATACATTTAGATATATAATATGTCCTTTCATATCACAAAAAGAAGGCCCAAGCCCAGCCCGACCTGATTCAATTTTTCAGGCCAAGCCAGCTCAGGCCTCAATGAGATAATTTGGGCGAGCTCGAGCCCCACTGGAAAACTGGTCCAGTGGCAGCCCTAATTGCGGAGTACAGGTGAAAAATCTAATTACTACAGGTAGCAAGCCAGCACCATACCACATGAAAGAGTCATTGAAGTTTACCAGTGGCCAGTATTCATGATAAGAATGTCGTGGTAGCTTGGAGCTTCTATCCAAGATAGATCAGGAACATCAATATCCACTCTAAAACCATGCTTGTAACCAAGTGATTCCAAGATGCCATCTTTGTCACTTGCTGACCAACTGCACCAAACAAAAGAAATTACAAAAAAAAAAAAAACAGGCTTAGTGATAGCCGCATTATAAATATTAGTAGCAAGGCATATATAAAATATAAATAACAACACATACAGGAAGCAAACAACAAGTACAGACCATTAGATAAAGAGCAGCTTGTTTTGGAGGACTGCAAATCCTTAACATATGCTGGCAAAAAAAATTAAAAGGAAAGTGCCCAATTGTACTTCCTGAGTTTTAAAAACACCCATAATTTGGGAGAGGTGATGTACACTTAATCTCTAGGCATAAATGAAGGGAAAATGTTCCAAGGTAACAGTGTTCTCTTCTCGAGCAACTTAGATAGGGTCAAACACACACAATCTGCAGGATACAACACTGAATGCCTTCCAGTTCAGCTGCACGTTTGAACTCCGAACCCAAGTCAACTACATTTCAAGAATATATTTCTAAGAAAAATGTTACATAAAAACCACGTGACACTCGAATTTCACTAATCACAGTGACTGTCAGAAATAGTAGCTTCTACAATTCTTATGCTCATCAAACGCTGTGATTTTCCGTATTCCAAATGATGCAAATTCTCAAAAATTCATTTGTTATATGTTTTTGACATTTTACAGTAACAGTTTTTTGAACTTCAAATGTTGCGACCTTTCAACAGAAGCAAGTCTACAGAATAGCAACGGCCAAACTTTTTAATAGTAGGAATCTACATAACCTAATGTGCAGGAACCATAGCACCCCAAGTCAATTTCTCTCCCAAGAAGGATCGTAACTAACAAAAAGCTTGGATCATTGACAAAGAAGTATATCGCAAACAAACATGTATTCACACAACCATTGCACTAGAAGCAACTAAACAATGACAATTTTCACAAACGAGGACAAGCATTAGAGAAATTCTTCAAAAATTCTAACCTTCCATAACGAACCAAGAGATTGGTTCTATGATATGCTATTGTAAGGTTATAAAGAAGAAATGTATGGCCGCGATCAGCACCAGCAGGCCGCCATTTTTTTACTTCGTTTGATGCCTTCTTCAGAGTGCACACAAGTGACACAAACATATTCCTGTTCAAAGAGTCTCCCACAAATCCTGCACTGGCAAACACATACAAGGTGTATAAAAAGACTGTACAGCTCAATCTAAACATTACTAGTCAATGCGAAAAAACTGGGTTTAATTCAATTCAATTCAATTGAGTCAGAACTAACATTCCAGTTTAACAGAGTATTCTAGAATTAATTCTATTTAACAGCTTGAGTAACACCATATTAGTGAATTTCCTCCCCCAAAAAATTCCCAAATTAAGCATATAACATCCATTTTTTTAAGGGAAATACTACAAGAAGGCAATGCAACAACGGAGAAAAAACAATCTTGAGAAATAATAGAAAATGTTCAAAAAATAGAAAAACAGGAATTCAAGAGATAGGGATCTACCGATTTTGGTGTGTCTGAATCGCTCGAGAAATTGAGCTGGATCAAATCGGGGAAGATCACACTCCCTAGGCTGCCATTTCCATTTGAAAATCTCTTCAACATTAGGTTTTCCATTAAAGATGCAGTTCCAGCCTTTGAATATCTCTTTGCAGGTGTGGTCATAGCGTGGCTTTGCCCCCTTATCATAAAGCCATGAGCCATCTGAGAAGTTGCAGAACTGCTGGATGGGTTGAAGGAGAGGATGGCGAAGATGATAGGCATTTCTGCCACGAGCCAAGATGATATAGAGGGAAGTGGAGAAGAAGAGAGAGAGGAGGATGAGGTTACAAGTTACAGTCTTCTTTGCCTGCTGCGCTCTTGCAGCCATGAGAGTGTTAAGGGAGAGAACAATGAGATCAAATTGAGAAGGCGCAACTCTAGATTTTGCTTGGAGATACAGTTTATGTATTGAAACCCTCAAGAGAGGTTTAAAATCTGTTTTCACCCATAGTTACAAATTTTAATTAATTTATTTCTTTATTTTAAAAAAAAGACAATTGTTTCGTGGGGCTGGACTGCATTTCTACAATATGCGGTTCACAAGTATAAAGCATACGTAGTCCATTTAAAAACAATTGTAACTGATGGTCCAAATGCTTTCTTAGGATAATTATTATTTTTAGTTTTAAATTTTTTTCATTTTCATATTCATGATCTTCATGTTAAAATTATATGTTATGCAAAAATTAGGATCAAATTATTTTTTTAAATATATTTATTGAAAAGCCCGTGTTTCTACAACATGTGGGCTGGCTGCATGCTAACCTAGTTGAAAAAAGAAAAGTACAATTTGAGTAGATCTATACCCTTAGAAAATCTTAGAATTATTCAGTTTGGACAAATTGTTATAAGATGCACTTTCTTTAAAACTTGAATTATTTTTTTCTTCAAACCTATGTAGAGATGATCAGGGTTTTCCAATATTGGAATATTCTCTTATGAAGGGTTATTGAGGTGTAACTTATTTCAATAATATAAAATTCAGTTTTTGAAAAGTCGAAAATATACATTTTTGTCTTTTTTAAAAAATGTTAGGAAATTTAAAAAATGGATATATGAGTAATAACGAAAACTTTGAAGCATTTTTATAATAATGATAAATATAACGGATATATACGTTATTTTCTCATAAAATATAATGTAATACTTTTTATTTTGAAAGTAGCTATTTGTGACTTGAGAAAGTGAATTACATCTCAAGAGGATATTGATTGCATAGGATTATGTTAAGAACTTCTCTTTTATTTTTATTTTTTCACTTGTGGAAAATATTCTATTAGAATTTGCTAACAAAATATTTGATTTCCTAAACACAGATCTGATTGCATAAAGGGTAGAAGATATCTATTCCTACCATCATTTTTTTAAAATAGTTGATTGGTGATTTTTCTCATTAAAGTTAGTTGCATGGTTGAGGAAGTACGAGACATATGATATACTCCCCAAACCCTATAACTTTATGGCTCATATTTAGAAGGACGTGGTTTTGTGTAAGGTTGTAACCATATTTATAAAAGTAAGATTGCGATGATCTACATTGTCTATTTTAATTGGATGTGTAGATTTTACGCATTTTTTAAAAAAGTGTTAAATCTACACTATCCAAAAAAAGAAAAAATCTATTAGGTTGCAACCTTAAAATATAGAATCACATATGCACCTCAAAAATCTATCGAAAATATTGTTTTAATGTAGAAAAAACCCTATAATCGATCATCTTGACATTGAGATGTATGAAAATGAAAAAAAAAGTTTTTGAGTCCCATAAATTATGCATCTTGCAACACATTATCTAGATCGTCCACTTTCAAGATTTTCATATATTTATAGATATACTTGATTTTAACTATTTTTAGAATTTAAAATTTTCTAATTAGGTATGAAAATAGATTTTAAGATAATGGTAAAAAAAATTTATAACAAAATTACATATTATGATAAAATTTTAAAGTACACTTTAATTGGATTGTTAAGATTGCAACCTTAATAGAAACCGCACCCTCTAAAAAAAATATATAGTACAAATTGTAATAAACTTATTTTTACTTAAAAATATTTATTGGGTAACGTGTAAGGTGTCAATCTGGTAATGTTGAAGCAAGACGCACCTTCACACCTCAAAACTATGTCGTAAGATCCAATTTCGGTGCCGAAAAGCCTTACGAGGTATGAAAAGGTGTGAAAATCTATTGGCCCCTAACTATGAAATTTAAAGCTCAAAAGATGATGTAAATCAAGTTGATTTATAAATAGTTAATTTTTTTACAAATGGACAAATCGATAATGCATTACAAGATGCATTATTTGTACTTCAAATCTTTTTTTGCCCTTTTCAACACTAATTAATTTGAGGGTGTTTTACCGTCGGGACGACTTTTTTTTTTAAGGGTTTTAGAGGTGTACTTTAGTATAAAATTGACACCTTGTATAATTGTTTCCCTTTTCTATTTGGGTGATGTTTGTATAAGGCGCCCACCCTATACTATAGAAGTAAGCTGCACCTCTAAAACTTGCTCAGAGATGTAGTTTTGGTATTTGAAATTTTATGATGACTTGAAAATATAAATTTTCCTATAGTTATGAAATTTAAAATTTCAAAAATAATACAATTTTAACATATCTATAAACACTTGCAAATCTTGAACATAGACGGTTCAAATGACTTGTTATAAGATGCACTATTTTTAATACTTGAAATTCTTTTCTCTCTTCATATCCATACCTCTAAGTCGAGATAATCAATTGGAAGGTTCTCCAATATTGAGACACTCTCTTCTAAAGGATTTTCGAGGTGCACCTTACTTCAATAATATAATCTACAACCTTAAATAAATTTTAGAAAAAATTTATATAATTTGAGGCCTAAATAATCAAATCAAGGTGCACATCAATAATTCACTAGAAGAGGCTGCTTACATATAGAAAAACCCCCAAATTGATCATCTAGACCTTGAGATGTATAAACATAAAAAAAAAAAAAAAAAAAATTTGAAGTATGAAAAATACACATTTTGTAATACATTATATGGGCCATCAATTTTCAATATTTTCAAGTGTTTATAGATTTGTTCAATCTAATATTATTTTGAAAATATAAATTTCATATTAAAGATAAAAATAAGTTTTAGGCCAGCACAAAAAATTTTACTACTTAAAAACCATATTTCGACACTATTTAGGGGCATACCTTATTTGTTTAGAGCCTCAACTTTGTACAAAGTACACGCACAAATTCTTAACCTCTTCTCAAGGATAACTCATAACCACGACCTTTGATGTTCGAATAATAAAAAGTCCCCCTTTCCCGTTCCATTTGGCATAGGGGTAGCAACAGGTCGGGTTGGACCGGCCAGACCCAGGCCTAAGCCCGACTTAAAAATTAAAATGTCTATATATTTAATTATATTTCATACTCAAAAAATATTATCGGACTTGAACCCAACCGGGACCTGAATAGTGTTCGGGTCCAAGATTTGGACCCGGAACCGATCCGCCATGTCAAATTTTTAAACCCATACCCGGACTCGGATCGGGTCTACCCTTTGAGCACCGGGTTGGGTCCGGGTCCACTGCCACCACTAATTTGGCATTGTTAGTCCCCAATATCTCTCTCACACGCACACTACGTGGGTGCGAACCTGGAAACCTTGTCGAGGAAAAATGGCACCCGGCAACATCTTTGCAGTGGACCAAGCTTGAATGTTGCAATGAGATTGTGTAAACATACATCTTGTGATAACCATGCTTATTACAAGGGGGATTGCATAGCATAAGACCATTCATGAATGCTTGGATATGAGATCTAAAGTATGTATGGTAAATTTTATTCAAGACTTTGCGTTCAATTAATGACACATCCACAACCATTCAATTTCACATCTAACGATCAATAATCATTCTGGCCCCCGTATAACAAAAATAAATGGCCTCCCTATATACATTTCTCTTATGGGATTGTATACTATGAGACCATTTACCCTTATTACAAAAAGATCACAATCATTCTTAACCATTAAATATCAAACTGGATGGCTTCGAGTGCATCACAAACTTCTTGTCCATGACACTTACAACCACAAAATTTAAAATCTAACGGACAAAAGTAAAAGTAAATGGTCTCTTTCCATACGTTTCCTTTAAAAAATGTTGACCTTGCATATATACAGTTGCACATGGCAATTCAATACGTCGCCTAGGGACATTTGTTCCCCTAACACAACCATTGACTCACAAGCAACACTTACAAACTTGTGCCCAACCGACACGGAAAGAGTAAAGTGATGGTTTATCCATCAAGAACTTAAGAGATGTGATCATCATCTTTCCGTGAAGAAAACTGACATAAAGCGCAATGCTAACAAGTGAGAGAGAATGCTATATCATGATGCGTCAATCATTCAATGTCCAATGGTAACTCGTTTCAAGAATGAGGGAAAGATGCAGAGTTGCAGACAGATGAATAAGACTACCAACCAATTAGTGATACTCCATTGCTATCATTCACTAGGACAGAAGGATTCCTACATCCTCTCTAAACATTTCTCCTTATATATTAGGCAATCAAGGAAGGAAGAGTGCATAAAGCTAACATATTACAATATAACGAGAAACAGTGAGGGCTCTGAACGTATTGTCATCATTATTGCTGCATACAGCATGTGATCTTAAAATTACAAATATTCACTCAGCACTTACAGACAGTCCCATCCATTTTTCAAGGAGGGGATTCCCGCATTGATGGAAAAGCTGACCAAGAATATGAATTCTCGAGGCAGTGGAGATATGAGAAAAGAAGCCAATAGATAAATAATAAATTGAAACCAAACCAAAAATAATACAATGACACACCATGTCACCGCTGATTATGCTTGAGTTTGAGCCGCTTGGCCTTCCTCTCCCTCTCTCTTCTCTCTTCTTCTTCGATAAGTGCCAGCTCTCTCTCATCTTCCTCTTTCGCAATCTTCGCGCTACAGGATGATACAACATAAAATCACTAAATGCTCATCATACAAAGACGTAATGCATTTTCTATAATAAACTCCAAGTTAAAAGGAAACAAATGGAGAAATAAATCTACAATAATAATGATATTGGAACCATTCTTTAGAACTTTACATTCATGCTAATTTTCATCAAGAAATATATGCTTTAAATAAGTTCCATAAATTTTTGAATTACTTTTAAGCAGTTGAATTGCTTATCTGAAATAACCCATCATAATAATTCTGATTATTTATCACAGTTTATGTCAATTATCCATCACATATAGAAGTGATAAAGCAGCTGCCAATTCCTTTCATGCCTCAGAAAACTTAAAAATCATCCCACATTTATTTCTAGTGAAAATGACTTACCTCCTCCTCTCTTCTGCCTGGATACGGCTAAAGTCAACCTCCATGTCACTGTCATCATCATCAATATCTTTATATTTACCAGGATCATACCTGCAAACATGGATTTTTCATAAACAAATCAACTACATTGTCCACAGATGACCAAAATCCAGAAAATGGGGCTATACGAGCATGCAGAGTATCAGAACTCAAAAGTAACAGTATTACAATATTAATTGGAAAAGAAGATAACAAGGAAGGCTTACCGAAACATCTGTCTAATGAGATGAAGGGCATCCCCACCATCACCTTCATCTTCATCTGAATAACCATCTAGAGGCCTCTTCTTTGGCCGCGCTTGATGTGCAGGACGTGATGAAATACTCTTTGCAGGCTTTGCCTGTAATCAACAATATATTGTAGGACAATGTTTAACAAAAGTATCCTTGAAAAATGTTCACGTAAGTACAGACATCCCCTAAGAAATTTCATAAATTAATTAATCTTACCAGCAGGGAAACCACGTCCCAGATATCACTAATAAGTAACAAGAAGAACAATAAGACGAAATCAAATGAGTAACAAAAAGAACACATAAGATTTCATTAAAAATTAGGTGAAATTTGGACATAAAGGAGGTTCTTCAATGTAAATCACGATTAAGTTGCCCTATTAGGTTCTTTCATTGTACATTTCATTTCCTTATATTTTACAAGCTAAGCCAAAAGAATACTATTTACTTATAAACCACCAAAATTATTAATTTCAAAGGATTTATCATTTTAGTCTAAGGGTTTATTTTTTGTGGTCTTAAGTTCTTTTTAGGGAGTCTAGGATTTTTTATATTCTTTAGGATTTTTGAAGATGTTCAGAAAAATGGTTAGAATACTTATGAAATTACTTGTTTTATTTGGGGTAAAAGTATCATTACAAATTTTTTAAGTGAAGGGCTTATGAGGTATTTTTATAATATTTTAACTTAAGTGGGGGTAGTTTTGATCTTTTTTTAGTATAATGTAATAAAAAGACCTTAGGTTATAGGGTTTCTAACACTTTTAGGGCGTGAACAGTAAAAACATATTGTGAATAGTGCCAACAAGCTTATCAGAGTTTTGAGGTTACTTTTTTGTGCAAGGAAAGCCAGATCCACTCAAATCTGGCCTATTTTGATGGTTATTGAACAGTTTTGGTCTCTTTTTTCTAACTACAATTGGTATCAGAGCCTAGGTTTTCTTCAACAACAAAGCTAGGAATCTACAACAAGCCTAGCCGTCTAGGGTTTGCTGATTTTAGGCTAAGTTTTGCCAAATCAGCCTAGAACTTGCTGATTTCAACTAGGTTTTGTTGGTTATCTAGGGTTTGTGAATTCAGTGAACCTATGACAGCAAGAAGAAGTTGAGGCAAAGGTATTCATATGCCACCTTGTGATGAGCGAGATCAAGAGATAGAGGATCTGAGACAACAAGTTTACGAACTTACAAGGTGGCTTGCAGGCATCGATTGTGGGTGAGATGAAATTTTGCCATCCAAGATGATGTGGAGTACAACCCTTTTCACTATCATGCTTCGCGGGATGAGTCGAGTGAAAAGGAATACGATCGGAGGTATGGATGACACTCAAAATCCATAAATCTAAAAGTAGATATTCCTGATTTTGAAGGAAAGTCGCAGCCCGATGACTTTATAGGCTGGTTAAACACAATATAAATGGTCTTTGAATACAAGGATGTTCCAGAGAATAAAAAATAAATATTATTGAGATTAAATTGAAGAAAAGTGCTTCAGTATGGTGGGAACAACTGAGAGCAACACTAGAGAGAATGTGAAAGCCCAAAATTAATACTTGGGAGAAGATGAGAAAGAAACTAAAGGAAAAATACCTACCTGAAAATTATTTGCAGTCGTTATATTAAAAAATGCATGTGTTGCACCAAGGAGATAAGCCGATGGATGGATACAAAGATGACTTTCACCTTTTGACTGCCCGTAGTTATGTGATCGAGCGGAAGGAGCAGTCCATTGGCACGTATGTGAATGGTTTGTGCCAATCAATTCGAGATGTGGTAGTTTAGCAGTTGTATTGGACCTTAACGAGGTTTATAACCTTGCAACGAGGGTTGAAACTTAGCAAAAAAGACTCGTGCTCAGGTGCGAGGCAAGTGCAGGTGATGGGGGAAATAGGGCAGCAGCCAGTGGTGGCAATTTTGGAAGAAAAGACAGCGTGACTGGTGCCGGCTCAACATCTTGCACTGCTAGAACAGCCAACCAGCAAGGTGCCCTAGACCAAAAAGGAGTTGTTTCAGGAGTCGGGCAGCTCGAAAAGGGAGCCAATAGCAACATCAAGTGCAACAAGTATTTGCGAATCGGGCATGTCTCATCACAATGTCCAAAGCGCACGTTCATTAACCTTTATGAAGAGTTCTACAATGAAGACAATGAGCATTTCTTTGAAGGTGATCCCATCTATGATGAGCCAGTTGATGAAGAGGACCTGGAAGTGACCTATAATGTCATGGGAGGGCATTGGTGATCCGGCGCAGCAAGATTATACCCTAAGTAGTAGACAAGGCAAATAGGTTAAAACCGAAGAATTTCTCATCAATTTGCTTCCAAAATCAGCAAGGCCTTGATTGGGACTCTCCATTGGTCTTTGATGAGTGTTCAGATGAAAAGGGTAGTGATCCAATTTTTGAAGAAGAACCAAGTGCAAACAAGGAAGGTGACAATGGTCGAGATGAAGATGAAGAAATTTTGGAAGTGATTTGGTTAGTGAACTAAGGGTTGGAGATGGTTATCTTGTTGGTTTGTTCTAGGGATGAACCAAGGCCATTTCAGTAGGGTTTAATGGCTGTCCTGATGCGATTTCAGATAGTTAATGTGGCTGAATTTCAGCTAGTTAATGTGGCTAAACCGAGGGTACATATCATGGTTATTCAATCAACATATAATGACCCTCTCCTCGAGGGGTTCTCAAAAGTGTCTATGGATATATCAACTGATTGCAAAGACTCAGTTTTAGTGCACAGCCATTGTATTTTGACTAGTACAATAACCCACAAGTTCCAAGATGGTATTTACAATATTCAGATTGAAGAAAGTTGCAAAATGCTAATTTCATCTTAGCACACTTTAAAACTCGAGGACGAGTTTCCTCCAACCAAGGGATAATAATGGAGGAAAAAGCTATTATTATTATTGATATTTGTTTAATTTCAAAGGATTTATCTTTTTATTTTAGTCTTAGGGTTTATTTTTTAGGGTCTTAAGTTCTTTTTAGGCAAGTCGAGGATTTTTTATATTTTTTAGGATTTTAGGATATATTTAGAGAAGTGTTAGAATACTTACAGAATTATTGTTTTATCAGGGGTAAAAGTGACATTATGAATTTTCTTTTTAGTGAAGGGACTTATAAGGTATTTTTTAATGTTTCAACTTAACTGGGGGTAATTTTGGTCTTTTTCTAATCATAATGTAATAAATGGACTTGGATGTTAGGGTTTTTAACACTTTTGGGGTGTAAATAGTAAAAACAGATTGTGAATAGTTTTGGGGTTACTTTTTTGTGCAAAGAAAGCCAAATCCACTAAAATATGGCCTGTTTTGATAGTTAACTGTTTTTAGTCTTTTTTCTCTAATTTCCTGCATCAAAAATGCAATCAATGGATGCAAAAACAAATCCAAGCAAAGTATCAATCATCACCTTATGTTGAGATGATGTTGACGATCGTTTTGGTGCCACCTTAACAAGAGGCTTGTCCAGTACTTGAGGAGCCTTCTTAACAAGCTTTTCAGTGGATGATGGCTTCTTCAATAGGTGCGCCTTTTGTATGCCACCACTGTTGCCGGTGACCACAGAAAACAACTTCTTCTTCTCAACTGCTCGAGCTGAAGAAGCCTTTGTTGGTACTGGAGCCTTAGGTGAAAATTTCATACCATTAGGCCGAGGCACCTTCCCACCACTAGAAGAAGGAAACTTTGCACCATTAGGAGGCGGCAACTTGGAAACAACAGGCCGACCTGGCCCACTTCCGGCATTGTTACTGGGACGTTTCATTGCGTTAGAAGAGGAAGACTTCAAACCAGGACCCACTTTTGGAGGCCCAGTCTTAGCTTGCCTCTGTTGGTTCACAGAGACTATCTTCTTCTCCCTGTTATCAAGCTTTCTCCTTGGAGGCGATTGACTCAATTGAGCAGCTTTCAAATCAGCATAGACCTGTATAAGCCTTCTCCCCATAAAAATAAAAAGAAAGGGATGCAATTAAGAAAAGCGGGAAACAAGAGACAAAATGCAAGGCCACACCAGAAGAAGGCACCCAAACATTTCGGGGGACAAGCTCTTTTGGAGGTGAAGGAAGCTCTCCATCTCCTGACATTAGAAATGAGTAGTCTCTTGCATCCTTTAGCTTCTGTACTTTAAGTTTCATCTACAAAATCCAACCAAGAAAGGATTAGGCCAATTGTCCAGAAAATAAAAGGAAAATGCAAACAAAAAAAGACATACCTCATTAACAACCTTCAGACGCTGATCACGTTCACGAAATTTTCTCTCTGAAGTGGTAGAGGAAAGAGCCTTTTTATTCTGATTGGAAGTAGGTGAAAATCAGAACATGTTAAGAGGAGAAAAATGGTAAAGATCAATCAATGTTCAAGTAATTAATTATGATGGCTCAATACCTCTGATGAGGCTTTTGGAAGCTTAGCTGCCATATGTTCTGCCTCAAGCTTTGCACGGGTTTCTTCAATTACTCTACGAGCAATAACTGGTTGAGATGGGCCAAAGAAGGATCCAAAACTGCAAAAAAAATATTTCTTAACAAAGGTTGAATATTCTCATTTCTTGGAATGATAAAGAAGGAAGGCATGCACAGATGCATCAAAATTTGCATCCATGGATGAGCTTTCATGTGTATATATACATAGAGAAGATTCACTAACACCTCCAACCACAGTTGTGGGAAATCCACTTAAGACCCACCTAGCATTTTTTACATAAAATATGGGGTTTTCTATGTTTTGTTTGGGCCAACAAGCAGAAATTCAGCCTCTGATGTCCTGTCTCTTCTAAAGTTGGCCATGTCAAGCCAAAAGGCCAACTAGGTTGCCAAACTGGGGTAGCAGCATCAAGAAGTAATTTCCTTCCACAGTAGTTTTCCATTCATAGACAGAGCCAGGTAAAAAAGAAAAAGAAAAAAAAATCACCACAGGAATTATAGCTTCTTTTTTCTTTTCTTTTCTTTTCTTGTTTTCCGGGGTGAGGGGGGGGGGGGTGGGTGGTGGTGGTTTCTATAATTCAGTTTCCATTGCTGTAAAAAGTGGAGTTAGGAGTGAAAGCATTTTATAACATGGAATAAAATGAATAGAAAATTTTGTATTAGGCACATGTACTTCTCATTAAAGCACAAAATACTTCTAGAAAGTGGGGACAAAAAGTAGGACATAAAAATAATCATACAGTAGGGAATTAAAAGCAGGATTCATTCATCAGAATTTGATAATAAAGGAAATTTATAAGAAGTATCATTGAACAAAGAATAGGTAATATTATAATAGTGTTTTTTTATAAATTTTACTACAGATCATTATAATATATTGATAAAATCACTAATCTTATTTTTTATGACTAGTTGAACTTGATGAAAAAATAAATTGAGATATAAAGACATAACACAATCTAGTTCTATAATTCCAACTGGAGAAATCTTACTATGGGTTGCTAAAAGGTCACGTCTTAATCGCCCAACATTAGATTGGCAAGCAAGGTATTTAACCTCATCAACCAAGCAGAGCATCAATAAATTGTTCCCTACATTGCACAGTGCATATGAACCTGCTCATCAATACAAGCTGGAGAAGGTGAAACTGCACCAGTCAGCATTGAGCGAATGCGATCTATCATAATTCCCATTAAATTGGGAAGTCTTCGTTTTACAATGCACAAAATAAAAAGAAGCCAAATGTAGCAGAAGCAATCATGGTAAAAGTAATTTCTACTTATTTACTGGTTCTCTGAAGCCTGGAAGGTGGAAATTGCAGTGGAAATTGCCCTCAGATTGTAAATACTTGGCCATTGGAGGAAGTTTTTACATTATAACCACCCGCAACTCCAGGCACCAACCTCAGCACACCCAACACCTTGGCACTGCCAAGAGTTCTACATTACACTGGTGAATAACTTTGAAAACCATATACTCTATAGAGATAATAGAGATATCTAGCTCCTTTTATAAAATAAATAAGCCAGTTTTGTGAGAGGCAAACAATATGTATCAGAGCTCTCTGATTAGGTGTTTGCTACATATGATCACCAAGAGAAGTCCTGCCACATTTTAAAAAGTAGACTATCATATTAAGGTAATGGGTTTCCAACTCATAAAAGAGCTTGAATGTTATATCCATCAAACCATACACATGGTGCTTCTGGGTATATCCTAGATTACCTGGATTAACAAATTGCGTATGCTTTTGGAAAACCAATTCTTGGATGGTGTGCTTTAACCCAAAACAAGCTTTATGGGAAATATTAAACCTGGGTCTTGAGAGAGAAAAAGCTTACTAAACAGCCTTTGTTTCTGGAGGACCTGGGTTTTATAAAAACAAGTGAAATTTTACCCAGGATCCAAAAAATCATAGATAGTTATGTAAAGTTTTAAATAATCGTAATAAGTATAATTGTATGAGAATAGGCAATAAAAAGAGAGAAAGTAGACTTAGGTGGTTTGGTCATGTGCAGCGTCGATCTAAAACAGCACCAGTTAATAGGGGTGATTTGGTTTATGTGGAAAGCTCTAAAAGGACAAGGGGAAGGCCCTAAAGGATAGGGATGGAACGAGTGAGAAAAGATGTGGTGACTAAGGGTAGGGCCCTTGATAGAGTGAAAGGCGAAACCAGATCTGTGTAGCCGACCCCAAATAGTTGGGCAAGGCTTGGATGATGATGATGATAAAGTATGACTGTATGAGAATCATTTAAAGGAAAAAGATAAACATAGATTCATCTATATGGTAATGCTTTCTCTACATTTTAGGCTAATCAGTTTCCATCGAATACCTATTCTTTGCCAAATTGTTCAGCCATTTCTTTCCTCCTGATTTCTAGCTAAATTAAATCACACAATAATTCACTCATAACATGGAGTCAGCGAACAAAGCAATCAGAATTAAATGAAGAGATGGAGCTCACTTGTCTTTAGGGAGGGTTCTCTTCATCTCTTGTGAAAGGCCAACCGCAGCATTTGTTTCCTTCTTCATTTGTTGCCGAATCATTTCCTTCAACTTTTCCCTCCTATCAATATATTCCATTTGTTCCTTGGCTATCTGAGGATCTTCTTCCTCTTCTTCCTGAGCTGCCTCCTCATATTCGATTTGTTCGCCCTCTTGGTCCTCTTCATCATCTTCGTATTCATCGAGATCTCTAGAGTAATCTCTGTGGTTCTTATGTGAATCCTACAAAAGGAATGATTTTAAGATCCAAAACACAAGTATGAAAAAATTAATCAATTGAGTCAAAAATGCAATATAACTGTCAAAAAAACAAATAACTCACATTGCAAAAGAAAAAAAGAACTATATTTCAGTATATATCAATAGAATACTTACGATCCGATCGTGTCCCCGCATAGTCAATAAATTTCTAAGAAGCTCACCATGGATTGTGGAACAAAATAAGGAAATGATAGAACCTGAAAGTTCCAACGCAAAAAGTCTTTCAGAGGGATCCAAATAAAAACAAAAGGCATGAAGCAATGCTCCACACTGGACTATGTAAGAATACAATGACAAAGCAACAATATCAACAATCGATGTTCATAAATAAATCTTAAGAGCAAATTTTAAATAAAGCACATATTACACTGTTATACTTGACAAACATAAGGTACATGATATTTCTCTTTTCTGGTGAATAATGGTCTAAATTATAAACTACAAGGCATCAGTCCTAAAGAAGAAAGAACATATCGACCTAAAATTCATTGTATTTTTCTGGATAAATTTCCACGTTCAGATAACATAGAGAAGCATAAACTATTTTCTATTCCTTGCATACATTAACAAGAAATTTTATTATGTGAATATCTGCCCTATTAGGATTTCAGAATAACATTTTGGCTAGATTAGGTGGGACATGGGCCTTGTTGCCTATGTTCCAACTAAAACTCAACGCATACTATACAAATGATATCATATACATCTCAATTTTCAGAACATAATTCAAAATAATAGCATTTTGAGGAAACACTAGAATGGAGACTTCATCAGTATTTAACATCAAAACAAAAGACGCCTAAATACTTCGACAGAGGCATTACATATGGCCATGGAGAACTAAATATACAATGCAAGCTTAAAGTAACTCAATATCATGATTAATCTAGATAAAATTATTACTAGCGCTACAACTCAAAAACACAAATAGAAACCATTAACTGATGAAGTTTTGAAATAGTTACTGATGCCTTAGATTATTTACAATATCCCTACCATCTATTTGAATTTGAAACACGAATTTTGGAAACAACAACTGGATATTAGTTCGTAAAATCAATTCAACCTAATGCAAAGGATTAAACCCTATGTATTCTCGGGAATCATTGTCAAAGTACAGCTACAATCCAACATATATAGAAGACCCAAAATTCAACAGTTATTTGCATCGAATTACATAGAAAGAATCGCTACTTTCACTGTCTATAGGAAATTAAAATTCAAAACAATAAAAAATAAAGCAAACAGAGTGATCAGACGGAATTTATTTAAAGAGAAAACTGATAAGAAAGAAGAAAAAATCTTAATTTTTATTCAAATAAAGAAAACCCTAATTCTTTCTCTAGAATGCAAACCCTAACTAAAAGAAAATCTCCCTAATTTTTATTCAAATAAAGAAAATCGTAATTCTTTCTCTTGAATGCAAACCCTAACTAAAAATAAAGCAAACACCACTCTTCATCAGAACAATACTCATCAAACAACAGTTAACAGTCTCAAAAAAATGACTCATCAGACAATGATTTAACATTAAAAAAATCAAAAAGAAAATATGAGATATTCACCCTACATATAAACATTCATCCAATTCCTAAATTTATCAAAATGCTAAAGTTAAGAATTTCTGACCAATTTTTATTCTCCTGAATTCACATAAAATTAGAATTAACTGCACATCGGGCTAGAATTTTGTTCAAAAAGAATAAAATAAATAAAATGGCATCAAGATTAAAGAGGAAAACTAAAACAACTGAGTATCTTCAATCATCAAAGGGGCACAAACTGTGGTGCAAAGACAAGAAAATGGTGATCGGACCGAATCTTAGCAGCAAAGAAAACAAGGTGTCAATATGAGCAGCTTGGAGGGATAGAGGAGTTGAGTGATAAAATAGGGTTCCAAAAAGCCTGGTCGAAGAAGTAAATCGGACCTTTTATATACGTACAATTACTAAATGTTGTCTTTTGGCAAAAAGAAGTGCTTCTAGTCTCCTTTTTCTCTATATTGCAAGAGAAGAATATTGATCCTTTTTAGTGGAAAGCGTGTTGTCTGCCGGAGGATGCAATCCTACATTATTGTTCCTTGAGTGACACATCAAACATCCATCATGAGGATGGAGGTAAAAAGATGTCGTCTCACAAAAAAATAATATTGATCGTCTAAAATATTTTCAAAAATATTATTTTTAATTTCTAAATTTTATTTATTTATTACATATTAATGATCCCCAAGGTAGAGATTATATACGGAAAAGGTTTGTATAAGCCTCCCATCTTATACTATACAAGTAAGGCACATCTATAAATTTTGCCAAATGATGTAGTTTGGCTGTCGGAATTCTTATGATGGCTTGAAAATCTATGTTCAACTCTAATTATGAAATTTAAAATTCTAAAAACAGTGCATATTGAGCAGGTCTATAAGCACTTGAAAATCTTGAAAATAGACAGTCCATGACTTGTTACAAGATGCACTATTTTTAGGACTTAGAATTTCTTTTCTTTTTTTTCTTTATATCTATATACACTTGGAAGGTTTTTTTATTCTAGATTTTTTAACTGCACCTTACTTCCATAGAATAAGGTTGCAACCTTATATGAAAGTTTTCCATCATATATTCCTAAAAAATTAGTCCAAAATCCATCAAAAAAATGAATCATTGGAGAGAGGGTGCATATCTACTATGTCCCTTTTTAATATGGAGAGGGTTTCTACGATCGTACAACTCACATTTACATGTGCAGCGCCCCATAAAATCATGGATTTTATAGTAATTAACGTGTACATACCTCTAAAAGTACCATTATTTTAAAAAGTTCACTTTTTTAACGTTGTTATACTCATACCAGATTTGTTTGCCATTTTCCTAAAATAACAAAAATGCCTATAATTTGGATTTTGAAGATCCGAACTTTATCAAAGTCCCTTAAGGTACCTTCTAGGGCCAAAAATACTAGGAACCTCTAAAGAACAAAAACTTCGGATTTTCACAATGCAAAGTTTTCTTTTTTTATCAAGGAACAACATTGGATATTCAAATTCCAAATTTTTGGTTGAAAGATGATACAAAAAAAGAGTTCGACAATACAAAAACAACGTTGGATTTTCTATATTTGAGGTTTGTTTGTTGAACGACAATACACAAACAACTCAGGGTTCTAAAAATCAGAAGTTTTTCTTTTGAAGGAAGGCCACTTTGAATACTTTGGAGTTTGGATTATCATAGTCCGAAGCTAGGGTATTTTAGGAAGCGAATTCAAAAATGGAGAAAATGGGGATGAATGCGAGATTTGTAAAACATTAGTTGTAAGGGAATTTTGCAATTATGGTTAATAAAAAGGATATTTATGAAATTTCTCTAGATTTTAAAAGGAAAAAGTTTCTATAAGGTTGCCTATGCTATAGAAGTAAGGTGCCCCTAAAAAATCTAGTAGATAAAGGTGTTCCAGAGTTGGAAAACCTTCCAATTGATCATCTTGACCTCGAGATGTATGGACGCAAAGAAAAATAACAATTTTAAGCCCTAAAAATAATGCATCTTGTAAAAAGTTATTCGGGTCATCTATTCAAGTGTTTCTAGATTTGCTCGATCTGCACCATTTTTAGAATTTTAAATTTCATAAATAGGGCTAAACATATATTTTTAAGTCATTGTAAGGTTCCCGACCCCCGAACTACATCCTCTGGTAAAATTTAGATGCGCTCCTTACTTGTATAGAACAAGGTTGCGACCTTCTACTATATAAGTAAGGTGCACCTATAAGTTTTTCTAGAAGATGTAGTTCCGATGTCGAAAACCTCACAATAGCTTGAAAATCTATATTCAACCCTAATTATGAGATTTAAAATTTCAAAAACAGTGTAGATCAAGCAAACCTATGAAATTGAAAATCTTTAAAATAGACGGTCCATATAACTTGCTACAAGATGCATTATTCTTAGGACTTGAAAAAAAAAAAATTCTTTATATCCATACATCTCGAAGTCAATATGATAAATTGGAAAGTTTTACAACTTCCGGATACTCTTTTCTATTGGATTTTCGAATTGCACTATATTTCTACAGTACAAGGTTGCAACCTTATAAACTTCTTCCAATTGGCAAAATAAGAGCCCAAAAAAATTGTACAATCCCTCTACCATAAAAGAGGAAAACTAGGCTTTTTTATAAACATAAAATTACTAAAAAGGTATGGTTTGCATAAGGTTGCGACCTTAGCAATCATAGTAAGGTGCACTTCCAAACTTTGACATAAGAAGCAATTTTGATGTCAAAAATTCTTAAGATGGTGTGACAATCTATTTTCATCTCGAGCTATAAAATTTTAAACTCCAAAAATGGTTCGAATCAAGCAGATCCATAAAAATATGAAAATCATGAAAATGGTCAGTCCAAACAATGTATTGTAAGACGTACTACTTTTGGGACTTGAAATCTTCTTTACTCCATATCCATACATCTCGATGTCGAGATGTTAAATTAGAGATGTGTTTCCTACATGAAAACAACCTTTTTTGAGAGATTTTGGGGTGCATCTTAATATTACATTTTAATGTGTCAACTTTATATAGACTTTTTCCTTATTAAAATACCCTAAAAAAACCAGCACAAATCCCTCTTTACTCTTTATTGTGAAAGATCCCTAAACATGGCTCTTACCGTTTTTAATGTCATGTCAGAAGTTCAAGCTTTTCAAGAAGCCCTTGAAATTTTCTAAAATGATTGTTTTTAATTTGACCTATGTTTCTTTTAGATCCTTTTTTTTTCTTGTGGAAACATCTGTTTATCACTTTCTATTTATATAAGGTTGCAATTTTATACTATAGAAGTAAGGTGCACCTCAAAAACTTAGTAAAAAAGAGTGTTTCGAAGTTGGCATACCTTCCAATTGATCATCACCACAACAAGATGTATGGTCTAAAGAAAAAAACGAACTTCAAGTGCTAAAAATAGTACATCTTGTAACAAGTTATCTGGACCGTCTACTTTTATGTTCTTCAAGTGTGTATAAATTTCCTTAATTTGCACTATTTTTAAAATTTCAAATTTCACAATTACGGTTGAACATGGATTTTCAAGCCATCACAAAGTTTTCGATACCAAAATTACATATTCCAACAAAACATGGATTTTCAAGCCATCACAAAGTTTTCGATACCAAAACTAGATCTTCTGACAAAAGTTAGAGGTATGCATTATTTGTAAACGAAACCACGCATACACCAAAAAATGAAGTGCATAAAAATTCTACAAAGAAAATTCTTAATGAAGAAATATTCAGTATATAGGATGACTGACCACCTCTCAAACTTGCAGACCTTCTCTCTAGCCACGCCTCACTATAAAAGTGGCAAACCACACAACAAGGATCTCTAGGACAACCTCTGTCTCGTGGCAAGGCCTCCAAGTAATGCTTCTCACATAGACCTAATGTGATAGCCCCACTAAAATGCCTCATGTAATACCTAACTATATATATTGGGGAATGATTTCATGAAATTGTGTCATTGTGATATAAAGAAACCACACTTCTAGAAAACCATATTTGTGGCATTTGTATGACCCCAAATTTTGCACAGACACTCTCTTCATCCTAATGATCAATTTCAAAAAATAAAATAAAATTCAATTTGCACCTTACATATGGTCAAAATAAGTCCTCTCCAACAATGAATCCAAACCGTTCATTTGGTGAATTTCAAGATCTAGGCATTTACAAATTCAAAATAATTTTATTTTTTTATATTGTTAATCTAATGATAATAGAGCTATATAAAAAACTTGGAAAAAAAAAATCCTTCAAAGGCTTAGATCTAAGCATCTCACTAAAATGAACGGTCTATATTAATTCGGCTAAAACATAGTTTCTAGGAAGTGGTTTCCAATTTTTCCTTTTTTGTAACTGTTCACTAGAATGAAAAGAGTGTATAATTAAAAATTGGGATCGATCGAATAGCCCTAACATGGTTTTTAAAGATTGATTTATTATATCACTATATAAATTGCTGTATGAAATCACTGCCCATGTCTATTATAGCACTACCGATCGTTATCACCCTAATCCTAAACAACCTTTAATTCTATCACATTTAACCCATTCCTAAACATATGCCTAGTCCTATTAGAACTCTTAATAAATAGAATTTAATTCCTATTGCACATCTTCTTGGACTCCTATCCTCACAAGAATCTCATCTTCAATTGATTAATTATTTTTAGCAATCCTTTTTTGGGTTTCCATTAGGTAACTAGTGCTATTAGAACTCTTAATAAATAGAATTTAATTCCTATAGCATATCTTCTTTGACTCCTATCCTCACAAGAATCTCCTCTTCAATTGGTTAATTACTTTCAGTAGTCCTCTTTTGGGCTTCCATTAGGTGTATTTTTTTTTCCATTATTCACCCATTGGGTATCACGAAATTGATATTTGTTATTTATAATGAAATGATATCTTATGGGGGGGTATGTTGCTTGTTTTGTTTTTCATATGTGTGAGGGTGTCAGGATTGTCTCTTACGAGACTATAGTACTATGATGGTATTGTAATCCAAGCCAAATGAAAATCAGGCATCCTTTGAATGCTCTAAATTCTTTTATGCCCTGGTACTTCCAAATGATCTAGTTCATTTATAATGTATTTGTGGGTCAGAATTCAGATTCCCTTATTTTTTGGCAAAATTGAAGATAAGACAAATTCCATTCTCATTAGCTAGGCAACGATGTCTTTTCATCTGCTTGCTAGGAAAGTCACCACACAGTGGAAACACAAAATTAATATAAGGATCAGACAGAGATTACGTATCTCTGAAAAAACTAGTGTACCCTTATATAGATTTGCTTAACTTATGCTTTTTAATTTTTAGCGAATGATGCTCGTAATCTCAAGCCAATCTATTAACTACTTGAATATAAAGCTTGTGAATCTTCGAGCCTTGATGGAGCTCGTCTGAGGAAAATCAAGGTTGATGACATCTCTTATATGAAGAAGGAAGATATCTCTTTTAGAGAGAAGAAATTATGAAAAAGTGGCTTGTGGGAGAGTAATAAAGCAGTGGGAGAGAAAATAATGGAGCAGCACATGTGGAATATAGAAAAATAATGGAGTTTGGCACATCTGTAAAGCTCTTGTTACAAATGCATACATACAGTCAACATTTTTCCCAAAAAAATGGCAATATATATTCATGAAATTAACAAGGAAATCTTCACATAAACTTGAACATCTAATATGGAAAGGAAGCAACACAAAACCTCAAATTATGCAGCCACGTAATAGTAAACCAAGAGAATGCAATACTCTAACAACGTATTTATAAACACACTAAAACGCAGAAACACTCTTCTGACAACAGAGATTGAATAGACCAACTAAATTTCATGTGATATATTAGAAAAATTTCATGGTCAGGTCTGCATCAACCCTTTTGACGCCTAACAACATATAAAACTTATCTTACAAAACAGTAAATTGGAAGGAGGATGCAAAGTTTCAACATAGAAGATAGTTTGCATCATTGAATGATTCGATTCATTAATATTGGGATCCGAATCTTGTATCAAGCCGACCCCTAATAATTGAGATAAGGGTTAGATGATGACGATGATGGCATACCTTGTATCAATGAAATGGAGATAAAGGAGGCAACATTTCGAGATAGACTTTAGACAATTCAATAGTTGGTCTCATCCTTTCGAGGTAATATTGGGAAACAAGGGACATACCATCAAGTTTCTGCAACTTATTTCGAACAGCTGATTACGCAACCACTACACTTCATCAACCATGAATTCTGTCTGCAAAAAAACCAATGGATTCAAAATTTTGCATGAAGGGAAAAGTTGAAACTACTCTGCAAAATTTTGTGGTCCAAATTTCACCTGATTCCTTTTACTGATACCCATAAATTTATTAATACTTTATCAGAATTTTCCCCAAATTTATTCCCCCATAAATTGAGGAGTGCTTCCAGCTTTCTTGTAGACTTCAAAACTCCTGAACTATGAAATACTAATTTACCTTTCACTGAATGGCCTAAAGTAAATGGATTAAGCCCCATAACAACAATACCACGATTCAAACTTCAAGAATATCTCAACAAATTCAATCAAATTTAACCATTCATTTTTCATGGAGTTCACTATGAAGTTTGGATACATTTTCTCATGGATTTCAACCCAAACTTTCAGTAATTTCCAGTAAAATGTAACAGATTCTCTACCCAATTTCACTTAAACTATGCCTAATATTACACTTACCAACATCGCAAACAGAAGGAGATAGAAAGCAACAACAACAAAAAAAAAAACAGATACCTTAATTTCTTAACAAATATTCCCCAAAAAGAAAAAAAAACAAAAACCCTAAGCGTTAATCTTACCAGTTGATTTCTCTGGGGAGAATTCGTATTAGATGTTGCTGAATCCATGAAAGGATAAGCTTTCAAAGGCTCAAATCCTCCAAAAATTGAGAAAAAATCTCTTAATTTACCTGTTTTTTAACGCAGTAACCCTAAATTTGGAGGAGGTTTTCTATTATTCGAATTCGAGGATAGAAAAGATGAAGAGAGAGAAACTAAAGCACGCGCGGCTGGTGCAGCAGTTGATGTTGCCACCCTAAAACATTTGCATATATTATCGGGCTACGCCTCAAAACGTTACAGCCCCCAATCCACTGCAACTTTCTTTAGGTAAACAGAAAAATAGGAGAGCTCCGGTTCAGTTTTACGGCTTGGGCGTGTTTGATTTTTGGAATTCGTGGTTTTGGAACTGAATATTTCTATTAACTTTCCTGTTTGATAATGGGGGTAAAAGATGGAAATTGCCATTTATACTAGGGATCAAGGAACTTGGGGTATCTA